TGTTGTTATTAATATAATACTGGTTTATCTTAACGCGATACTTGATATCCTTTTTCTTATTTAAATTGTAGTTGTTATTACTTGAGAGATATTTTAATTATATGGAATTGACGTTGATATAAATACTCTTTGAAAGTTTGTATCGTTTTTATTCATATATACTGACAATTTAGATATCTATCGCACATGTATGTTTTGCGTTCTGTCTTTTCTTTTTTCCTTCTTTACTTTTTTATCTTTCTTTCTTTTGTTTCTTCGGTTTTCTTACGTTTTGACTCCTTTAGTTTCTTTGACTCTCATTTGAATCTTCTTCCGTTTTCCATTTTTATTTTTTTCTCCTTTACTTTCTTTTGTTACTTGTTTTTAATTTCCTTTTCTTCTTTTTTCCTTCTTCTTACGCTTTGACTCATTTAGTTTCTTTTGTAATTCTTTTTAAATTCAATATTTTTGTAAGCTATAAATTATTTGAATAAAAGATGTTTGAATTCATTTGTTTGAATTAAAAAAAACTAAGCTATTAGGCCAAACAAATGCATTTAAACATGTTTTAATTTTTTTTTCTTATTTTACGATTTGACTTCTATCCTTTGTCTGGTGATTGGTTTTAATTTTTTTTTCTTGTTTCCTTCTTTCTTTCATCATTTTCCTTATTCTTTGACTCCTTAAGTTTCTTTTACGAATCTTTTTATTTTTATTCTGCACTTTTAGTGTCTAAGATGCGAAAAACGTCTTTATTTAAAATGTTTTTGCTTCATTAAGATACTTTTGTCCCACTTTTAAGACACTATTTTTGCAGTGTACATTTTGACTCCTTCTGTTTATTTTTTGACTCGATTTAAATTTAATTTCTTATTTTTATTCATTTGACTCCTTTATTTTCTTTAATGATTTTCATTAATTGCTTCTGACTCCCACTGTTCCTTTCTGACTCCTTTATTTTCTTTTCTGACTTTCATTCAATTCTTTTAACGCCTTTAGTTTGATTTTGACTCATTTTAATTTTATTAATTTGTGTCACGCTCTGAGGAAAGGTACCTAAGAAGCAAAAAATTTGAGGTTAGGTTTTTAATTTTTTGAGTAAAAATACAGAAAGAGAATCAATTATTAATTAAAAATTGTTGGTCTTCAAGTCTTCATTATATTCAAAATATTCAATGAAAATTGGTTTCACATTCAAATAATTAAAAATACACTTTTAATCAAGATAAATCTAACTCGAACCCAACCCATAATTCGTTTGCTTCTTAGGTACCTTTCTTGGGAGCGCGTCACATTTTCTCTTTTTATTCTTTTTAACGGATTTTCTTTCTTTTTAAACTAGTTTTAATTTTCTTTTTCTTTTACAATTTTTCCTTTTGACTCCATTAGTTATTTTTCTAATTCATTTCAATTTTATTCCCTGTTTTTTTTACTTTCGTTTTTTGACTCCTTTCGTTTCACTTATGACTCTTGTGAATTCTCTATTATTTTAATTTTATTTTTTGACTCTTTTTTATTTTCTCCTACTAACTCCTATAGTTTCGTTTTTTACTGCTTTTAAATTTTTTTCTTTTGACTTTAAAATTCTTTCCTTTTGTCTTATTTTGACTCCTTCAATTTTTTCTGACTTTCTTTTCTTTTTTTCTTACGTTTTAACTTCTTTATTTTTTTATGAATCTTTTGAATTTTCTTTTCTGTTTTCTCTTCTTCTTTTAACTAGTTCAGTTCTTGTATAGTGATTCACTTTAATGTTCGCTTATTATTTTCTTCTTCTTTCTTACGTTTTAACTCCTTTACTTTCTTTTTTTTCTTTTTCTTTTTTACTTTTTTTTTAATTTAATTTTATTTTATCTTTTTAATTTTCTCTTTTTACTCCTTTATTTTCCTTTGTTACTAGTTTTAATTTTCTTTTACTTTTTTATTCATTTGGCACCTTTATTTTTTTCTAACTCATTTTTATTATTTTTTCTTTCTCCTCTTTTAATTCTTTAACTTATTTAATTACCTTTTTGACTCGACTTCCCTTTCTTTTCTTCTTTCTTTATGACATCTTTAATTTTTTTAAACCTCTTTATTTTTCTCTTCTTTTTTTCTTACTGTTCTACTTCTTTTCTTTCTTTGATGACTCTTCTAACCTTTCTTTTTTACTTTCTTTTTTCGACTCCTTCAATTATTTTTTGTGATTCATTTTAATATTTCTTTCTTATTTCCTTCTTTGCTATGTTTTAATTACTTTAAATTCTTTTATCGAATGTTTCTTATTATCTTTTCCCTTTTCTTTTCAATTTTCCTTTTTCGACTTCTTTATTTTCTTTTCTTTTTCCCTTTTCATTCTTTAACTTTTTTTTTTGACTTGTTTTCCTTTTTTTTAGATTTGTTTATTTACTTTTGTGACTCTTTTTAATTTTCTTTGTTTACATTCTCTTCTTGACTTCTTTAATTTTTTTTGTAATTCCTTTTAATTGTCTTTTCTTTTATCTTATTTGTTTATTTATTTTTTTTGACTTTTAAAATTTTTTTCGTAACTCTAGATTTTCCTATTCACTTTTCGTATGTTTTCTTACGTTTTGACTCCTTTACTTTCTTTTCAGTCTTTTTTTACTTTTCTTTTTTAATTTCTTCTTTTGATTCCTGTTTTTTTAATGATTCATTTTAATTTTGGTTTTTCATTTTCTTCTTTCTTTTTACTTCTTTTATTTTCTTTCTTCCTTCCTTTTAATTCCTTTAGTTTTTCTTGCAACTGTTTTTAATTTTATTTTCAATTTTATTTTTTTTTGACTCCTTTATTTCCAGTCTTGAGTTGTTTTTATTGTCTTTTTTCCCTTTTTCTTCTTTAACTTATTTAGTTCCCTTTTTGATTATTTTTAATTTTTGTTTTTTGACTCCTTTATTTCTTTTCCAGAGTTGTTTTTATTATTGTCTTTTTTTCTCTTTTTCTTCTTTAACTTATTTAGTTCTCTTTTTGACTCCTTTTAATTTTCTTTTTTGACTCTTTTGACACCAAATTCACTTTTGTGACTCGTTTTAATTTTGTTTATTTTCTCTTTTTGACTCCTTTTTCATTTCTGACTAGTTTTAATTTTCTTTTATTCTTTCCTTCTGACTCTATTGCTTTCTTTTGTGTCTTATTTTAATTTTCCATTTCTTCTCTTTGAATTTTTTTCTATTTTCTTTTTGACTCCTTTAGTGTTGTTTGTGCCTTTGTTTAAATTTTCTTTTCTTTGAAATTTTGTTTTCTTTGAAAAGAAGATTGATTGGAAAAAATGGAGAAAAAGTTGAATGCATAAAATAGATGATGAACAAATATAATTGTCGAATAGGTGGAAAGAAAATGATAAGATGAAAAGTTGAATGTTGGGAAGGGGAGAGAGTACGTCATTCGGCGCGTGCCACTGTAGCAAAAATGTCTCACTTTCTTGCCACAGAGTAAAAGGAGCAAGACGCGCATCTCTCATCCACGAAGCATGTGTTACTGAAACTCTCCAAGAGCTAGGAGCTTCCTCCTCATGTTGCGTAAGGCCATTCCACCACTCACTATAAACACTCACACACACTCACACAAACACAAATACTTCTGGTAGGCCAACCTCTTTGACTCAACTGGCCGCAAAATGTCTATCTACGTCACATTAGATTGCTCTCTTTTTCCACTTTCCGGATCGTTTTGCCTCTTCCTAGCATCATTCTTTGATCCTGTAGATTCTTTCAGCCAAGCACGGCAATTCTACTTTTTCTATTTCATCCCTGAATCATGACCAAATCCGTCGAACTGCATTTTCATCAACTTTTTTTTTTCTTTCTATCTTTGAGAGAAAGAGAGAGACAGAGAGAGAGAGACAGAGAGAGATGGAAAAAAATAAGAATTTCAAGACTGTTGCTTGTTAGTAAACTCTCTTTACAATGTAAAGATTTATTGGAAATGACAGTAATCTTCTTCTCGTTTCGCTTTATTCACACTTTTGGAAAAAACCGCGATAGAGAAACAATTTACGGGAAAAAGCAATTAAAATAAAGTGTTTTTGATTTCCTGTCCAAGAAAACTACTAAGTAAGCCGTTTCGATTTTTTTTATATTCTAGTTTCAAAGGAATTTTTCCTGTTGATTTCTGTTTTTTTTTTTTTTTTTTAATTTTAAATTTTAAATGAAATTTAGAAGACATTTTAGAAAAATAAAGATTTGCAGAGAGTGTTAAAAAGAAATGGTGTCGGGAAAATCACACGGAGAGATAATAAACGCGCGAGAGATGCAAATAAGAATCGGAAGGGCGATTATCTCTCTCTCTCTCAGTACGTTGGCTTCAGCCTCGGGGAACATTTTTTTTACGTTTACGGATAACTTTATCCGCGAGTCCGTAATCGACAGAATAAGGAAAAATGAAAAAAATTATTTACGTTGCGTGCAGTTGACTAGAAGTTGGAGATTTTATTAGAAGTAAATTTCACATCGTGTGGAATAATTGAATATTGTTGTCTTTATCGAGGTGCAAAAACGAATTGGAATTTTTTGAAAATTACACAGAAGAAGAAATTTATTTTATTCAAATAACTATTTAATTATCAAATAAATATTTATTTGAATAAAATAATTTTTTATTTAGATCAATTAATTTGTATTTGAATCAATTATTTCAGTATTTTAAGCAAATACAATTTATTTGATTTAAATAGAAATGTTACCTTTAATTAATATTAATAAAAGATGTTTTGATTCTTCTGTTTGGCCTAATTTATATAATTTTATGGCTTCCAAAAATACTGATTTAATTAATATTATATTTTTAATTAATTAATTATTTAGTTTAATTGATTTTTTAATTTAAATAATTAATTTTCTATTGTATAATTTATTAATTTTATAAAAATAGAAAGAAATATTTTTGTGACTTGATTTTGAGTTTGTTTGGGGGGGAAAAAAGAGCACTGAATTTTGAGGTGTGTGGCATATTAAATTTTGGACATGTGTCGTAATAATTTGTCATACTTAAAATATGGTGGAATAAATGTTTATGATTGTTGACTTACCGAACCGTAAAGGAGACCGCAGGAGTCCATGCAAAGGTAGAGGCAGGTGGCAACACCCTGGATCCTTAGTTGACCCCTCGACACCGACATCCTCTGAAAAATAGCTGTAAAGAGAAAAAGGTGACAATAATCTGACGGTAAAAATATATCAAGAGTCATAATTAATTTCGCAGATAAACCGTTATGAAATATATATATATTAAAAAAAATTATTATTATTATTAAACAAAAAAAATCAAAATAAACAATAAATAAATAAATTTAAAAAAATAAAATATTAAATAAATATTGTCAAAAATAATTAATTAGCTGAACTGAATAATTTGGTTAGTGAAATTACTATTTATTATAAAGAAAAACTTATGGAGAACGAGCAATGTAAACTATATTAATTTTTACTTAAATTTACTTTGGAAATATTAAAATTTATTCCAGTTTCAAATTTTATGGAATTTTTTACTTTTATGAATTTGTACTATTTTCGAAATTTTTGCTGCGACCAGTGTAAATTTTACAAATTTTTACTAAAATTTACTTCGGAAAGAGTAAAATACTCCAGAATCAAACAGTCAGAAATTCTTTCTTTTCTAGAATTTTTACTATTTTTAAAATTGATTTTACTACGACCAATGTAAATTTTATTAATTTTTACTAAAATTTTCTTTGGAAATAGTCAAATCAAAATCATTTAAAAATAGTTAAAATTATTGTTGAATTTTTGTAATTCTTTTCTTTTCTATTCTGTAATTTTTACTATTTTTGGAAAAAATTTTATTGTTATTAATGTAAATTCTTTTAATTTGTTACTAAAATTTACTTTGAGAAGTGTAAAATTTATTTTAGTTTCGAACTGTATGGAATTCTTTAATTTCATGAAGAGTAAAATTTATTCTAGAATCAAAATGTCTTGAATTCATTTTTATTCTGGAATTTTTACTATTTTCAAAGTATAAATTTTACTACGTCTAGTGTAAATTTTACTAATTTTTACTAAAATTTACTTTAGATAGAAAAGAAGAAAATTACTCAAAAATAGTTGAAATTGATGCAGAATCTTAGAAATTCTTCTCTTTTCTATTTTAGACTTTTTACTATTTTTGGAATAAATTTTACTACGAGGAATGTAAATTTGATTAATTTCAAGTAAAACTTACTCTTGAAAGTGTAAAATATATTTCAGAGTCAAACTGTCTAGAACTATTTTCTTTTCTAAAATTCTTACTATTTTCAGAATAATGTTTATTATGATCAATGTAAATTTTAGTATTTTGTTACTAAAATTTACTTTGGGAAATGTAAAATTTATTCCAGTTTCGAACTGTAAGGAATTCTTTACTTTCATGAAGAGTAAAATTTATTCTAGAATCAAAATGTCTTGAATTTATTTTTTTCTAGAATTTTTACTATTTTCAAAGTATAAATTTTACTTTGTCTAGTGTAAATTTTACTAATTTTTACTAAAATTTACTTTAGATAGAAAAGAAGAAAATTACTCAAAAATAGTTGAAATTGATGCAGAATCTTAGAAATTCTTCTCTTTTCTATTTTAGACTTTTTACTATTTTTGGAATAAATTTTACTACGAGGAATATAAATTTGATTAATTTCAAGTAAAACTTACTCTTTAAAGTGTAAAATATATTTCAGAGTCAAACTATCTGGAATTATTTTCTTTTCTAAAATTTTTACTGTATTTCCAAAATAATGTTTACTATGATCAATGTAAATTTAATTTTATAAAATTTACATTACTAAAAATTACTAAAATTTACTTGGGAAGAGTAAAATTGAAACCATTCGGTATTAGTTAAAATTTCAGGATTAACTTGGCTTTAAATTGCAGTCAGTTTTACTATAAAGCTATAGTAAAATTTATGATGTTAAAATTCTGAACATTCAAATAAACGAAATATATTTTCTTTTACAAATTAAAATTTTATTACAATAATTTGGAGTCACTATAAAAAAAATAATAATGTTTCTAAATGTAAAATTTAAGTTTTTCATTATTATTGCATTCAGTAATTTTTAAAAATATTTTTAATAAAAAATATTTTTTCATTAAAATTTACTTTATTTGTTTATTCAGAGAGTAATTAGTTTTATTAATTAGGTTAATTGATCAAGTATGTTTTGTTAATTATTAAAGCTATTTGAATCTAATATATTGGTTAAAATAAATTTATTTAATTAACCAACGAAGTTATTGAAAAAATTAGATAAGTTAAATAATTAAGTTATTGCATTAATGATATAAATAATTGCACATTTAATTGTTATCTACATAGTTAAGTGTTTTATATAATTAATTAATTAACTTATACAATTTATTTGAATATCTTATATAATTAATTAAAATTTTAAAATCTTATAAATCTTATCAAATATTACATTTAAATATTAATTGTAATTATAATCTTATTGAATGTCACATGTAATTAATTAAAACATCTTGTATTATTAATTACGTATCTAATTACATAACTATTCAATTAGTTAACTAACGAAAAATATTTTTTAATTCATATTGCTTTTTATTTTTCAATTAAGATTTTTTTTTGTCCGAAAAAAAGTCGAATATAGTAAAAAAAAAATGTATTTTTTATTTAATAATCGAAAAATTTTCTTCACCTTTGATTTGAAATCTATCAAGAGAATAAGCAAGTAGAATAATTTACGTATGCTCCGACATAGCACAGGAAAAGTTAAAACTGATACAGCATGCTTAATTCTTTCACTGAGTCCGGCTCTACGTAATTTGTTCCACTTTGAATATTTCATGAGTGAGAAATAAAGTTTTGCGGAAAAGTTAAATAATATTTTTTAAAGAAGTTCCAAATATTTAAAGAAGTTACAAATATTTAAAGAAGTTGCAAGTATGTAAAGAAGATGCAAATATTTAATGAAAAATTAGTATAAAATGTTAAAAATATGAAAAAGAAGTTGAAAATATTTTTCTTAAAAAAGTTTCTAAGCTCCTTGGAAATGTAAATTTTTGATTAAATCATTTTTCACGAATAGTAATGAATCTTTTTAAAATACACCTTTCATGCTTCAACTTTCGCCACACGTGAATGAAAATCGGAAATAACATTATAATTTGTACTTCATTTTTTTTTTTATCGCGCATACAAATAACATTTTGTCGTGTTCTTTGAAGCGCGAAAATTATTCTAATTGATTCTGAATTTGACAAGCAAGCAAATGGCAGTGAAATATTATGTATACGGTTTAACGAAGATCTCGACGATGAATTTTTTTTTTTCTTTCGTTTTATAATATATCTCTCTTTCGTCACGCGCTTTTTTTTCTTTTTCGTTACTTGTTTGAAGAGGAGAAAAAAAATAATTGTCAATCACAATCGTACAAAATTATAATTAATTATTCACTTGTTTGTTGAATGCATAATTTTAGAGTTTATTAGGAAAATTGAATAAGTTTTATTTTATTCTCTTTCATCTATTATATATACCAGTTTTATTTACATTCACGTTTTTTTTTTGCAAAGCACATTTATCCAGAGCGCTTAAAATAAATGGACTTGTCCCTGAAAAAAGTCTCATAAGCGGAAATCATTTCCTTGAATGCAGTGACCACTTTCTGTAAATTATAGTAATCAAGTTGTGAGATCTATAACTTTCTCGTTGCGAATAGTTCGCCGCCTTTGGAGATCAAATATATATGCTGCGAAAAAAAGGAGTTAAATTTTAAGCCCCGATGGGATTCTTTAAAACTTTTTTGGACAAATTTTAAATTTAACTGTTTAACTCAATTTTGGAGTAAAATGTTACATCGAAAAACTACTCACAAGTTTCGATACTATTAGCTTCCTAAATTTTTTACACTGCACATATTATAAATAAATTCGAATTTAATTTTAAATTAAATTAAATGATTTAAATTTTAACAATCAATTTCTTCTCTAAATCGATTATTTTTAATAATTTCTGATAAATTTTCTTCAAAATTCAATTATTTAAAGAAAAATAGAAGTTTATCTATAAAATAATTCTGAAATCTGTAAACTTGTTAACAATTCAATTTTATAAAATGTCAATTCGAAATTTTTTCAATTGGGTATATAATATATTAAAAAATCAACTAATTTAAAAAATATTCGAATTCAAATTATTGAAAAATTATTTTCTTCAGAATTTTTAAATTACATTGTTTAAAATTCAAATTTTCAAAAATTACAATTTAAAAGTTTTTGAAATTGAATTATTTATAAAAATTGTGAACGCAACCCTTAGAAAATTCAATTACTTTTCGAATTTCAAGAAAAAATTATTCATTAAATAATTTAATATTAATAAAAATTTGATAAGCAATAGTTTTTTAAAAATGAAATTATTTTTAAAAAAATCAATTTCAGTTGACGAGAAAGGAATTTATTTTTTTGAAAGTGGGAATTCAATTTAAATTCAATTCAAATTTTGTAAAGTTCAATTATGTCAGAGATAAAAAAAAAAGTTTTTGTATTAACATGCGGATAGTAATTTAAAATTTTATAAGTCAAGCAGAAAGAAATTTAAGAAGTTTCTGAATTTTAATTAGTAAAAATGTTTACAAATTTGAATTGGTAAATAACTTTTTGCTTTTGAATGTAGTAAATTTTACTAATAAATTAGTAGAAATGACTATATTAGTTATTTCAACAAAAGGATTTCAGAAATATTTAAGACAAACTTTCTTTTTTTCTTTGAATAATTAAATAGAACTTTATTAAAAATTATTATAAATAATTGATTAAGAAATGAATTTTACACAAAACTTTCAAATATAATTGAATTTTATAAGAGTTTCGTTAAAAATTTTTACAAATAATTGAATTCCAACCGATTTAAATTTAAAATTTAAGAAAATTAGAATTCTAAATAATTCTAATTAAAAATTCTAAAGAAATTCGTTTTTGAAAAATTCTTATTAAAATTTTTTGAAATTTATTGAATTTTTCGAATATTTGATGAATTGAAAAATTTTCAAATAATCCAAATTTCGTAAAATTGAATTTTCAATAAATGGATTTCAGAAATATTTCAGACAAACTTTTTTTTTTTCTTTGAATATAATTAAACTCTAAGAACACATTATTAAAAATTAT